AGGAGGCAGCTAAAACAGCAAATATTCACACCTTCATAGAAAATCTCCCAGAGGTAAATCAAAATGTCATTCCAATCTCAGTGTGGGGCAAATATTCACTGTGACCTATCTAAGCAACTCCCATTAATGCAAAACAATATGCTTTTTAAAAAAGGTTATTTTCATGTGGATACAATTCTCAAAGAGGAAAATAGAAAGCTGATATTTAAAAATGTAACTTGCAATATGTATTAACACATACGCAGTTATAATTAGCTAATTCAAATGCAAAATCTGCGCTCCAGTTTTCTTGTTTTCCTCCAGCACAGAGATGTTCTATAACAACTATAAAAGAGACATTTGATTCTAGACCTTTATTTTCATTTCCTCATAAACTTTGCCAATTCCTTTTCCTTTTTTGGCTGAACCTTTCTCTAATTTTAGTCTTATCTGAAAGGTAAAATGTTTCAAGTACATCTTAACCTTCATGTTTGCCATGGACTTAGTTCTCAAAGTGGAGAAAGACCTTGGAAAAGCCCAGAGAAATCGGGCTTCCTGTAGAGTTGCATGGAATTGGAAATGACAATTGAAAATTGAAAAAAAAACAATATTTCTTTTTCATTACCACCTAGTTTGTGAAAATGTACTGAGAAGAAAGTTTTGGATGTGTAAGAAATAAAGGATCACCTCCTGAGCGTGGGTCTCTAGGGCCTTGAAATTATAAAAGTCTCTTGAGATCTATATGTTTAAATACAGGTGTCTTTGACTAGACACATCAGTGTTTGCACCACTTGGGAGTTAGTCTTTTTCTAATGCTGAAATAAATTTTCATTACAGAGCAGTTATCAATACGTGTAGCTGTAGATATGCATTTTGATTCAAACAGTTAATAAAATCTTATAAAATTTTATTTTTTATTAAAAACCATTACATTATTCTTTTTACTTTCACTGTGGAAATGCTTAAGACAGTACATTATCTGCTATTAAAAATATAACTTTCTGTTTCTAACTTTCCTTTACAATGAATATTTACTTATACAGAAGTATAACACCCGAGTGGGTGACAAAGGAGCACAACTTTCTGGAGGTCAGAAACAAAGAATTGCAATTGCTCGTGCTCT